AGACGCAGGGGGCGTGATAGACTTTTCTCTAGCAACCAATCGCAGTCTCTAAGAAGATAGGAGCAAAGGCAGAGCTTGTTATGCCAGAGGGAAGAAAGGCGTGACCAGGAGGGCTAGTCCCACGTGGGCTTGGGGAGAGACACCATTAGAGGATTAACATCTGCATTCCAAAGACCTCAGCAGAAGAGCGTATCTATTGAGTTGTAAATCTTGTAGACAAGTAGCAATAAAGGACTCTAGTTTTATTGCTCGTGAACGTGTGGGTTGTTTACATGTTGAGTACCACCTCGACAATTCTGTCTACAACAGGTGGTGTTCATTGAAGGGGAAAATAATTATGTGGTAATATTTCTATCATGCTTTTCAACATCCCTTAAGTGTTTCATTCATAGCCTCTCAATGAAATTTACAACAGCCTTGTGTGTGATAGTCGGGGATGATACTCACCCCCTTTAATTGTGTGCGCTTTTGTACTGAGGGACAGTGCTTGCTTAAGGCCATTATTAATTAGCTACAAGTGCATGCTGTTTTTCTGCCAGTGTAGTCAAGGTGGTTTACCAGACAAAATAATCTTTTATTATATGGCTGTGTACGATTGGAATGAGGATGCTTGCGGCCATTTGTATCAGTGGCTCGGGTTACTCCCTCATTCCATCTGGAGGCCAGGGCTTCTGCAGGACCACTGACTAAAGTTACAGAAGAGTCCCCATTGACCTCAGGAAGCAGTCCAGATTCACTAGGCACTTGGGGTGGATAAGAAATTTGGTCCTTCTCAGATCCTGCAGAGTTTACAGGAGGCCTGAAGATAAAAACTAATCTGTCCAGCTGAGTTGCTTCTGGCTCTCTCATGACAGATCATTATCCTCTAATCCTGTACAGAAAAGAACATCCAAAGTCTACCTTCATACATATGTTTAGTCAGATGTTAGCTGTGACAGGCCCAGAATTGATCTGGTGGCCATAGGCTTGGCCTGAATATTAAACTTTCTCAAGTACACTGATCTTGAGGGCCTTCGTACCACACTCAAGACAGTCCAGTAGGCATGATAGAAAAGGAAAAAGGAACAAGGAGGAAGGATGATAATTATGATCAGAATGACACATAGCGCTTAGCTGGAGGCTGCAGCAAAGAAATTCAAAGAAGACTGAGACTTGGATGGGCAGCAGTGAAGGAACTAGACAGGATCATCAAGTATGCAGATGTTTCACTGGAGACCAAGGCCAAGATCATCCACACTACTGTATTGGCCATCACTAAGTATGAGTGTGAAAGCTGGACAGTGAAGAAGGTTGACGGGGAAAGTGGGTGCAGTTGAAGCATGGTGCTGAAGGTGAGCTGTGCAAAATACCCTGGGCTGACAAAAAGATGAACAAGTGGATCTTAGATCAAATCAAGCCAGGGCATTCCCTAGAAACAAAAATCACAAAACTGAGGTGGTCTTACATTGAGCACTTTATGAGAAGGCAAAAATCCCTAGAGAAAACCATCATGCTGGCAGAAGTCAAAGGCAGAAGAAGAGGAAGACCAACTAAGAGATGGAGTGAATTCATAAAGGAAGCCACAACCCTGACCTTGGAAGAGAAGAATGGAGCTCGCATGGACAGGGCATTTTGAAGGCCTCGCCTTGTGCTGTTTAAAAACCTTGTGCTGCAAACCGAGAACGATTACTTTGGAGACAGCCATACTGAATTCAGAGTTGACTTGCATAGGATTGCACGGTTAGCTTTGAATTTGCCTTCTACTGTATGCCAAGTTTTTACTTGTACTGGGGTTGTATTCAATGCTGGTCTTACGTAAGAGCATACCCATTGAAATGAATGACACTTAAAAATAACTAAGGATAAAAACCTTAGTTTTTACCACTCACAATACAGGCAGACCTTGGGTTACAAATGTCTGAGTTACAAACAACCCATACTTACAAACAAATTGCCAAAAACACTATTAATTTAAAAAATTGAGCTAAAGGCCTACTGCATGAAATCATCATTGCAATAGAGAGAAGAAGTGGAAGGGGAGAGAGGGAGGCCTCCAAGGATCCCTAGAGAGAGAGAGAGGAAGTAAAAGGGGAGAGAGGGAAGCCTCTGAAGCACACCTTCCTGTCCTGCCAATCCAGAGAGGGAAATCTCCCTGGCATTTACTTGTTACAAAGAGTTGGTGCTGGTTAGTTTGGGTGGGGATGGGTGGGTAGAGATATACCAACTATACAAATTCAACTTAATTTCCATTTTCTCAGTAACAGAACTCCTTCGTAACTCAGGGACTACCTATATACAATATTGGTACCTTTTAATTATCCAGTTTAGTTGTGCCTTTTTATTTTCAGTTTACTTCTAAGGGCTTATTAGCAAAATCAGGCCCTTGAATGACTCTTGGCTCAAGTTTCCTAATAATTGTGTTGTGCATGAATCCAGATGGAACTAAAAATACCAGGTGCTAATGAAACTGCAATCGATCCCTCAATTTGGTTGCTTCTCATGTGGACTGGGCATTTGGCTTTCTATTTAAGACTGTTTAGATCAGTGCTTTCCAAACCTGTGATAGCTACATGCAAAATTAAATATGCCATTATATAATTCCAGCTTCTATTTTAACTTTAATAGAGAATGTGATATATGCAATTAATAATATTTGGAAATCTGGATTTCAGAGTTACAACCAAAGCAATAATTGTCACTCAGGGTTTTTAGAGATTTATATAAGTGTTGAGATGACCCAATTGCAAAAACTAACAATGGGTTGGTTTGCATGATTTGCTAACCCACCTTGTGAATAACCAATACTCAGTTGTCCACAAAACAAACAATGGTGTACCAGACAGATGGGGGGTGGGGGGGTTACATGGCTAATGGGGCATTTAGCTTAGTTTAGTTTTTAGAAAGGGACACGTGCAAATTTTTATGCGTATGTAAAGAAACCCTGGGTACCCCTTCCGAAAACATTTATTTTAAAAGGAATCTTGACTTTTGACAGTTGTGCTTCTGTGAAAGGGGTAGTTCACACTTTTCTTTCTTCCTAAGCACCCCTACAATCTTGGGAAAGGGTGGAAAAGTGCAAAGATACTGATCAGAGCTAGATCCAAACAAGTAACTAGAGAATCTCATTGTGAAAGGGGGTGGTCATAAGCAAAGATCACTCATGGTTTTGTTTTCCCTTGACAGCTTGCCTTTTGATAGCTGTCTAGAAAGTACAAAGTAAAAATAACCTTTTTGCAGCCTCTCTGGGTCAATGCCCATAGTTGGAACATGCTGCACTTTGACAGCAGACAACTTCCAGGACATTGCTCATGTGAGGCTTCCCACGTAGGACCCTTGCAAATACTCACTTCCACACTTCAAGTCTGACTTAAACAAAATGACAAAAATGTTTATGGAAATTGTTTGTACTGGGCAAGGTTCAGGAGCAGCAAAAGTGTCACAAGCAAGGCTAAGTAGCAAGACAGTAAAGTAGGGTGAAGCAAGGCATGGCAAGTACAGCAAGGCATGACACAGCTGGATACAGCACAGTGATATAGCAAGACAAGGCCAGGCAATGTGGCAAGGCATGACAGTGCCAGGTAGGACATGGTAAGGCAGGATACAGGGCAAGGGTCAGGCAAGATGCTGCAGTTGAACCACGGCTACCAGGCAGACCTACATAGCTGAGGCTACACAGCAAGGCAGGACACAGCAGGAACCAGATGCAGCAAGGGTCTGGCAAGGCTGAACCACACCTCGGCTAGCAGGAAGACCTGTGTTGCTGATGTGAGACTGCAAGGCAGGATATATAAAGGGAGGCAGGATCTGATTCAGGCAGCAAATAGGAACACCCATGTTGCTGAGGCAAATTCTGCAGGGAAGGACTTGTATAGTTCTTCCTGCAATGCTTCCAGCTGGTGCTAATCAGGAGACTGAGAGCTCCGGCAGGGCCTGAGACTGATCCTGTGAATACTGAGGTGGGTGTTCTTGCCATGGCCAGCTGCTCATATCCTGACAGGCTGTCACTGGCTGCCAGTTTGGAGATTGCAGAAATCATTCCCTTTAAAAAATGTAACAGCAAGCAAGGAAGGTATTGCAGATATGATAGGGATCCTGAACCAGTGACAATCACTCTACCATGTCACCTAGGCTTTGTTGGGACAGCTGTCATTGGTGCTGGCCTGGGTGGGCTTGGCAAGTGCAACAAGGGTTTCTGCACCTCAGCTAGACTGGATTTGGACAGCAAGGCAACTCATCAGAGGTTGAACAATCCACAAAACAGGCCATGGGTTGTCAGGGTGCCTTGTTGCCTTCAAACAGCTGGCCTGTGGGAAATGGTCTGAGTTCACACAACACAACAACCTAATGTAGCTTGTCATCCCTGCTGGGATGTTATGCCATGAAAACGGAGTCAATGGATTAAAATATGTAAAATAGTGTTAACAACTTACAAGAAAGAAAAAAATTACCGAGTTATGGTAATATTCTTCCGTTTCCATGACAAAAAAGGCAAAATGAGATGGTTACAAAATTGCCCTTGAAATTTTTGGTGTGTGAATAGAGCAGTAGTGATTGCATGTTAAATGGGTGGCTAAATTCATATTGCAATATCACCTCTAGATTCCTTTTATTTGAACAGCTGGGATGTGGAAGTGGAAGTCAGGTGCCCAAACATCTGGTTTTCTGTTTAAAAGCTCATTCAAAGAACATGTAGCTAGGCTTAAGTTACTTATTCATGAAATTTCTAGCCTGCTTTTCTTCCACTAGAGATACCTCAGTATGGTTAAAGAAAGCAGTATTGTAAAGTATAGCTCAGGATATTGTGTAGCAATGATTATTCCATGGTAGTTATAAAAATGTTGTACCTCATTCTATACCAGCATTGCCTTTCTGCTTTTAGAACTCTCCAAAAAATGCTTTAGAAACTTCGAACTGTTTTTATTTTTAATTTTCTAATACTTTTATAGATTGGAATTATGCAAAAATGGGAAAGAAAGGTGGTTGATTTCAAATATAATGGTTTCTCTTTATTTCTCCTACAGATAATTGCATATAAATGGTTGGAGAACATAAAAAGCAGAAAAGGCATGGAGGCACAGAGACTTCCTTTTCCCTTGGTCTCACTAGACAATCAAACAGTTCAGCAATCTTGCCTTCAAGCCATACCAGCATCAACTCTTTCACTAAATCCAGTGATTCTCCAGCCAGAACATGGACTCTCTCAGACTATATACCTTAAAGCTCTTACCATACCACTTCACCAGCCCAGCCCATCGGAATCCCTTCAGCCAAACCACAAGCTACCCACTGGCCAAACCAATTTCAGTGTTGACAGTACTAATGCACCTTTAATCTTAAACCCACATTTGCATTCCAAGCAAGTGGATGAACTTCAAGCAGTCATTCGGAAGCAACCTGGATCAATAAGCATAGTTGGTGGCTCACTTGTTTTGCCACAAAACTCTTCTCCATACACACCCCTGGGAAGCCCAGGGAAATGCAAAAATGCTGGGAAGTACCTCTGTAAACATTGTGGGCGAGATTGCCTGAAGCCAAGTGTTCTTGAGAAACACATGCGCTCACATACAGGCGAGAGGCCTTTCCCCTGTACAACATGTGGCACTGCATTTAAAACCCAAAGCAATCTGTATAAACACAGAAGAACCCAAACTCATGTCAACAATGCTAGGCTGCCCTCAGAGTCTGACAATAGTGGCCCATTAGGAGAAAGTGAGAAGTTGACTGAGAGAGTTGGATCCCTGCAGACAACAAAAGCCAATGACAGAAACTGTTACCACTCAAGAGCAATGATTAAACAAGCTGTGTCAGAGTCTACTGCTGCAGTAACCAATGAGAAGCATGCTCTTGATGATTCATTGCCAGCAGATAATGCTTTATTCCTGGTATCTGAAAGCCAGTGGGTGACAACAGACAACTATCATGGAGGTGTAAATCAAGTACTTGAGAAAAAGACCACCAAGGATTCAGCAAGTCTGCTCCAGAGAAGGAAGATCCAGGAGGACATTTCTCCAACTATAAATAAGCATGGTCAGCTACAGAGGCAGCAAGCCACATATTCGGAGAAACTATGGGACAGCAGATCTCCAGATTACAAGCTGAAGAAATGTGAGAGCACTGATTCAGGTTATCTGTCACGCTCTGATAGCGTGGAGCAGCAGATGCTGTCCCCCAGCCCCCTTCACAGCCTTTGCAAACTCAGCACAGAATCAGAAGGTGAAACAGCCATTAGCAATCTCAGGTGTACAGCAGGAAATAGTTCAAAAGCAGATTTGATCGGGACAGCAGCCGGCGTGTTAACGTTAGAAAAAAAGAAACTGGAAGAGCATATCTCAAAGTTAATCTCTCATAATAAAGCTGTGGTGGATGATACCCAACTGGACAATGTTAGACCTCGGAAAACGGTCCTGTCCAAGCAGGGCAGCATTGATTTGCCAATGCCTTATACGTACAAAGATTCATTCCATTTTGACATACGACCTCCTGACACGAGCAGGAAAATGAATCTTTCTCTGTGCTCAGCCAGGTCCATCTTCACACCCATTGAAAAATCCAAACCACTGTTTTTTCATTCGGTTCCGACTCAGTTCTCAACAACAATAGACTGTGTTCCTGTCACCAGAAGTAACTCTCTGCCTTTTATTGAGAGTGCAAAGAAGATACAGGACCAGTCAGGTCATTCAAAATTACCTTCTTTCACTAGAATGTCCCTGAATACAAGTTTCTCTGGTTTGTTGCATAGCAACAACTTTGCTGCAAGTACCACAGAGTTTCCTAGCAGTCATCCCAGAGCACTTGTCAGACAGGTGGCGGTAGATGATTTGCCTTTAGGTAACTTCGTAGAATCTTCACCTTCCTTGGAAGAGATAAAAGGCACTAAAAAACCTGGAGCTGGAGGGGAAGGGGCAAACACAAAATGCAAGAAAGCCAGTCAAAGAAAATTAAAAATGTTCTCTCAGGAAAAATGGCAAGTCTATGGGGATGAGACTTTTAAGAAAATCTACCAGAAAATGAAAAGTAATCAAACAGCCAAGAAACAAAAGGGGACTAAGGCCACAGATACTTCAAACTTGCATTTGGATAACAAGGATGCAACCTGTTCTGATGGAATTAGTCTGCTAAGAGATGGGAAAAGCTCCACGATTAGAAATGCATCTCCAGTGGCCATTTCTGCAAAGCAAAATACTGAAGAGTTGGGAGGGTCTTCCACTGGGAGTCCTGTATTGCAACGTGCTTCCTTGCAGGAGAATTCAGGCAGCTTTTCAGAACTCATGGAAGCATCAGATTCAGTCAGTGAGAGTGAGCATGGTAGGGCGACTAAAACATTCACTGAACGTAGACCCAGAGAGTCAAGTGTTGCTAAGCAAGACCCAGCTGGTAACAATCAGGTCCTGCCTTTTGGTACCAGATCCGAGCTGAGACTCCAGCTTCAACAGGCTACAGACCAGGATCATGCCCCATTAGATGTTGTTAGCCAGAGTGATCATGGGTCAGAAGAGGTAGGTGCACGACCGAAGTATATTAAATGTATGCCATTACAGGAGGATGTTTCAACCAACAAAGAAGAAGATGCTGGTAGGAACAAAAGCTTTCAACTTGTACCAGCAGCCTTACCACCATGCCATCGCAACACGATTGCCCCAGTTCAGAAACCCCAACAGTTACCATCAGAAAGAAAAAAGCTGAAAGTGGATAAAACAAGGAGCAAAGAAGATGCAAACATCAAAAACAGTCCCTGCAGTAACTCAGCAGAGAAAACTGGGGAAGTGCTAGATGGTTACCAAGTCATTGGTATGGATGCTCCCAAACTGATAGATCATGCAGTTAAAGGAGAAAACCAGCCAATAGTGGTAGGATCAAATGAATCAGTTACCAGCATGGAATATGAGGAAGCCATCCAACATTCTTTAATGACCTCTAATAATAGGGATGATGTTGCTGAACTTACTGATACAGCAAGTGTATCAACACTTTCATTTTCTGCACTCAGAACTGAGGTAACAATGGAATACACCTGCAATCCATATGGTTTACAGAAGCTGACCAGAAAACCATGTCCCTCAATAATGGAAGCAGGAAAGTTATCAAAAAATGGAGACATGACACCAGTATCTATCCCCACTCATCAACTAGTCGTTGATCAAGTAACTCCCCTGCTGAAAAAAAATACCTTTCTCCCAAAGTATATTTTAAAATATTCTCAAGAGGAGAGCAATACAGGCATGCCATTGATTCCCACGGGAGAGGTAGAGGATACGCCCCGTATTTCACTGTCAACTGCTTTGACTGACTCCCCTTATTCTGCCCTTGGAACCAATTCTTCAGAGGTATGTTTTTGCCCTTTGCAGTTAGAATGGAATCATACAACCAGAGCAAAAGAGTTAAAATGGGATGTGCATGCAACATGGAAATCTTTGGTAGCTTGTCCACCAGCTATCCTGGAAACAACAAGCATTACAACCAGATGTCATCTTCAGAGTGCCAGGAAAAAGGAGAAGATTGAAAGCATGTGGAAAGGAGCAAGTAACAGCAGCAGCTTAGGCGATCAAAAGTTATCACAGGATGGGCATGGGCATACCATTGTTTGTACATCGCACGCTCCTGGGAAGAAAATATGTTTTACAACTATGTATACAGGCGGTTTTTTCATATCTTCAAACATGACCGGGAGGAGTTCGGCCTTACAGTTAATGAACTCAGGAGACAGCTCAGTAATACCAGTTGCTTCATTGGTTGGAAGGACAGTGTTGTGTGGAAATTCTGGGGAGAAAATCAAGGAATGGCAGTCAGATACCCAATCTTTTCCAGGATTTCATGGTATGCCCACATCTTCACTGGATAATTCCAGGTGCATTTGCCATTCGTCTGACATGCTTTATTGCCGTATGCTTTGCACTCAAGAAAGAGAAGTACACACTCTCCCCCAATTAAATGTAATTCCTCCAGCAAGACATTCAAAAGTCCCAAACATGCATATATCCTTCCCAGTTCAACATACTGAACCTCAGTTGACATGGTGCTGCCTAAACAGAAACCTCCCTCTTCCAGTTGAGCAAAAGGAGAAGAAAGATTCTGCTTATTCTACATTACATACTGTTAAAAATGAAAACTTCATTTCAAAATGTACCCTGTCCTTTTGTAAAGTGAAAAATACCAGCAAGGCTTCAAATGAATGCTTGACAACCGGAAACCCCCAAACGCCTATCTTTTCCTTGAGGCAGCAGAGAGAGAAGGTAATCTCTGCTCCACAGAGTCATTCTTGGGGTATTCCATGATAACAAGCTTATTATCTGAAGGAAAATGGGACACTCAGTGTTAGGGGTAGTCACCTTTCCCTATTGTGTACTAGTCACTAGTATGGCTTGTACTTTTCATGTGGCTATTGAACATTAATTTGTTTTATTGTATTTATATCCTCTCTTTATTCCAGGAGCTGGGAACCTATGGCCCTCCTGATGTTGTTGGCCCACAGCTCCATGATTCCTGATCATTGGCCATGTTGGCTGGGGCGCATATTTTCCCCTCACACCCTGTCCCTTGAGCCTCAAGGAATCCTATATAGGATCCCTAGTTGGTCACCAATCCATGCATTTACCAAATGAAGCCCTTGATTAAGAATTCTGCAGACCTTTTCATTCTTGGCATGACAGTCTTCTTTTATTCCCACATTGGGTCAATTTGAGGGCAGGCACAATAACAAGATGTTTGTGTTGATTAGAACTCCAATAAATGTTTTATGTGAAACAGACTGAGATTTCATATTGCCCAACTTGGCCTCTTTTCCCTTTTTCACAATTCAATTTCCCTTTGCAAAAGGATGTTCAGGGTTGAGTAAGTTGCAAACCATTTATGTGCATCGCCTGATACACAGAACATATTCGGGTTGAACTTTCAGGCAGAAAGAAATGTAACTGTTCACAGATGAAACCAAAATGCTTTCCTCAGGGTGAATGAGGGAGAGAGAGGTGGCATTCTGCTTTCCAACCTCAATGAAAATGAGCATGTGCTGGGAGCCTCTCTGTGCACAGCACTATGCCCCATATCGGAGAGCAAGGACTGCATGCACAGTCCCGCCATGCTTGCCACACTTGTCTTCGGGTCAATCCTCACATCAGCACAACTGAGATTGATCTCACCACTTGGATACCCATTTGCCTGAGAACTGCAAGCTCGCTTCTCAGGTAGCAGGGCATCAGTTCTACCAGGTAGCAGTGTAGGATGTGTTATCAGAAATCACCTGATCAACCCAAGAATAAGGAGGATTCTGAGCTGTGGTTGCAGCCTGCGGTTTCTATCTATACCAGATGTGGTAATGCAGGAAGTAGAAAATCATGCTATGCTTGGGGGATGGCTTGTGCTCTTCACCTTGGAGCACATTTGGGGAAAGTGTGCAGGGGACCTCAGAATCACATCCCGGACTGCTTCTGCCTCCCTCCACTAACCACTGAATTGTTTAATGCTTCCGGCTCTTGGGTTCCCTATTTGGTCTTCTGGCCTCTCTTCCAGGCTCTAAGGGAACCAGTCCCCCACCAAAGACTCTTAATTGGCCAAGATGTTAGGGAGGTAGCCTGAAACTTAGCACAAAGCAGCAGTTCAGACAGGCAAAACCAGGAAGTGAAGCTTTGGGTGGAGGAACAAGAAGGCTGTCTTGGTGGCAGGTAGCTGCAGGAGAGATAAAGGATTGGATGTTTTCTTCCAGCCAATAGGTCCCACTCTGCTTAGTTGTTTTTTCTGCCCTGCTCCCAGGAAAGGAGCCCAAAACAGTCCTGGGTCTTCATGAGCCTCTTTCCAGAGATAGTCACCAGTCACAGGTGAGGTTCTGGTTCAGTCCAGCCAACGTACAGTCCCAGCTGCAAACCCTGAGCCGTGAGCCATAACTATCAAAATTTTGAATGTCATGTGTTGCTTTTGTCTTGCAATATTCTTTTTGTTATGTTTATATCAGTACTTTTCAACTCCTGGAGTTGATGGGATGGTCCAAATTGTACCTGAACAAGAAAAAGCAAAAGAAAACCTTGATAAAACGAGAGGATTCACAACAAATAAAGTAATGAGAAACCATAAAAGGAAAAAGGTGAAGTTCAACTCAAAACGGTAAGAAATGTATGATTTTACTTTAGTGGGAAAAATATTTGGAAATGTGTAGCATAGGGGAACCAGGTAATGTACTGTGGGAGTTCTAGCTAAGATTACCTTGGCTCTGCTGCCACCTTAACTTCTTCCCCCTTTCCCACCTTCTGAACACAAAATGATAGAAGCAGTTGGAAGAGAATGAAAAGAGAGAACACAAAATGAGGAAGAGAGAAGAGCAAAGAATAGACACTGAAGGAATAGACACTATCTTTCCCCCTTAGGTCTTTTCAGTGTTTATCTGAATAAGTCTAGATTTGATGAGCACCATATCCTCTCTCTTAATGTTCCTTTAATGTTCCTAAAGCTGCTACAAAGCACAACTCAATTAGCTTGCATGTAATCTGAAGCCTCTTGGTGTAGTAGCAACTGCATCTGATTGGACCAGGCAAGAAATCTGCCGTTTGAAATCTGGTTAATGCAATGTTCAAGGACCCCAAGGATAAAAGTAGGCAAATTAGGTTTTGGGTAAGAACTTGCTTGTTGAGTGTAACTGACTGAACCCAGACAAAACAGATTAATTCATCAAGAAGGTTTGAGAGAAGAAATAAAATGGAACCACACTTTGATTTAGAACACATGTATGTGGCTTCCCTTGTTGCAAGTGGAGTATTTTTTCGAAGTCAGGGCAGCTAATTTGAAATTTATTGGGTTGGCATTAAATTGCAGATAGGCTCGTTGAATGTTTTCAGATGTGTTATCGCACTGGCAACCACCGCTGAATGAATGTGGCTGTGGTGCATGTACCTGATGTGAGTGTGCTGTAGAATGGGAGAATAAGAGTCAGGCTTTTTGCAGTGCTGGCCCTCAGCCAAGGTGATTGTCATTGGACTGCAGAGGAGGGCAAATGGATGAAGCCCCCTTTCCTCCTATTTCAGTTCAGTATAAAGCAGGGGCCCTGTGCTAGCAGTTTGGGATTAGAGGTACCTCTGCTATCAGAGGTAGTATGCCTATGTATACTAGTTGCTGGTGTACATAGGCATACTGCACCCCTATCAGCTTGTGGGTTTCCTGTGGCATGGAGATATTCTAATCTTCATTCATATGATGTTACTTACAAAAACATCTATGCAACCATCACAAAGTGAGACACAAAGTTAGTAGGAAATGCTGCATTACAAATACACATCCAGTAAATATTCGGTTACCTGCACAAGAGCCCTGGAAGCTGAAATGGAATGCATGCAGGCCAAGAACTTAGTTACAGCAGCTGTAAATAAGATTTGAACAGAGATTTCCCACATGTTCAGCTGCTGTTCAACGTCACTCTTATATATACTGGGAATGTCCTGGAAAATACCTTGGCTGTAATGTTGATTATGGAAAGAGGGAAATTTTGTAGATGAACTTTGCAGGCAAACAACAATATGGAACTGTTTCTTTCTGAAATCTTAAATTTGGGCAATATAAGTTCCAAATGTGTATGTTCAGTTGTCGATCTCAAAGGGACCAAAGGGGGCCAAAACACATTTTAAAGACAAAATGAGTGTGCATATGTTTCTGCATAGATACAGTTATGGACATAGACACATTCTGTTGAAAACAAGCAGGCTGAGCAAGCAACACTGGGCAAAAACTAAGAATCTGGAGGCTGCCAAAAAGCATCCCCAACCCTATATACCTGACAGCCACGAGAATTGCATAAAATGTTTCCATCTTCCAACAGTTTCTCAAGGTAAGTTTTTTTCCATTATGTATTTAGAAGCATTTTGCCCATCCAGCTTGATGGCTTCTTGATAAAGACAGAGTACTTTGAAGCCAGTGCAGCTATTCCCTTGCTTTATGAGCTTTTGCACACTTTAGCTGCCCAACAAGCATGCCAGTATAATGTATTTGTTGCATTCACATTGTGGGAACTATGCAATTTAGGTGATGGTCACATACATTTTCATTTTCATGAGTCTTTCTTGATGTGCTTTTTTTTAACCTTCTGAACCAACCTTGCTAATAACTTTGTGAAAGATTCTCCATACAAATTTAAAACAAGAACCACAAAAATCACAAAATTCCATTGGCCTAAATCTTTGATAGGTTTATAAATTAAGAATAGCTTAGCTATTCATATATTCTCTGGCACTTGTGAATTTAGTAGCAGAAGTTGTTCTTCCCTTTCTTAATAGAAACAATGCTTTTGTTTGCTCATGCATTTTCCCTTTCCTTCAGCAAATTAGCTTTACATATTGATTTCTTCAAATACTTTCTTCACATGCACAGAAAATGCCAGTATGAACTGAGGAATCCTCCTTAGACTAAGATCCATAAGAGGGCCTCTCTTCTCCCTAAGAAGTGCTAAGTTTGTTTAGGAGCCTTTAATAAAGGGCTTTGAAAAAGCTTTTGAAAATCTAAGTACACAATAATCCACTTGATTATTCTCAAAGAACTCCACAAGGATAGTGAAACAGGAAGAAAGTTCTTCTCTAGCAGACTTGGTAGCAATAGAAATAATTTTAAATATAAAATTTATTCAGACACTAATTGCTGATTTGCTAATTAAATATATTTGTATTTTTTAGCCTAAGGAACTACAAGCTGAGCCCTAAAGAATCCAGTATCTAGTTTTATGAGAAGGTGAAAAGCTAAAGCATATATAGAAAACACTCATTTTCCTAAAACAAAACAAAAAATACCAAAACAAACAACTGAGAAAGAAAGGGGGAAAATGATCATTTTTAAACCCTTTTTTCCCCAGAAAAAACATATTGGGGGAATACCCCCCTTCTCTAGTTTGTCCTGGACCTTCATAACTCCCAGGAACAGATACCAAGATTATGATATGGGTATCTTTAAGGCATTAATTTTGACCATGGTACATAAATATTTTGATTCTCAGGGCCTTTTGTGCCCCTCATGATGGTTTGTGCCCCTGCCGTGCTGATTGATTTGCGTTATGGTAGAGACTTGGGTCAGTTTCTTTTTCAGTGCATTCTCCCCTTTCTTCCAGATCTTATCATGTCTTAACTCCATGGTGCCAGTTTCCTTGGAAACATGAACTTTAATTGCTATACTAATGAGTATGAGCTGTTTTTCCAGGGATGGCATTCTCCCAGGCCTGGTGTTTATATTAGCATAGGAGAGAAGTCAGTGTTCATGCAGCACCCTTTAATTCTGCCTTTGATTATTTTCATAGTGGAATAATTCAGTTAGAATTATGTATGGGCTTGGATGAATGGATGGTACAATAGTTTGTACCACCACAGTGTTAAGAAAAGATTAACAGGCACAATAATATGTTCCCTAATTACTTCTGGGTCCTTCTGGACTTTCCATGTTTCTTCTTTGGTATCATCCCATTTTTCATCAAACTCCATACTAGATGTGACAGCACCTGGACTCTCCTTTATCCCAAGCATAGAAAGTTACCATCTTTATGGTCTTAAACTTAATGATGGATTGTTTCCACCCCTCACAATTTTTCTGCTTTTACTCTCAGACATACTAGCCTCAAACATTGGCTACTCTAGCTGTACATTTGGCTGTGTGATGACTGGGCTGCTATCAAATTTCTGTTTAACATTTGCAGTTGAAAATGCCCTTTTGGTGGTCAGTTGCCAGATTGATTAATATGGTTGGAAAATTACTGCCTCCAGATTTCATTCAGTGATCATCCTGCCCCCAAATAACTTTGAGGTGGCTGGATGATGTTGACTTTCATTCATAACCCTTCCATGTTCCTTCATTGCTTCTTCCACAATTTTTCTTGCACAGATCTGTTAAAGACAGAATTATTGCAAAATAATTTTTGATAATGTTAGGTGACTTTTGTATGGAAGAACCATGAACCTTCAAATGTTGAAAAGGATCCCCATTAGTTAAGACACCAAAGAAATGATTCTTCCCCAAATCATTTTCTTTTGGATAAAGAAACCATTTTGGTCCATTTATAGACACTTGGCAAGCAATCCAGGGGAAAGTAATTCATAAATTATGAAGTTTCCAGTGAGGTGCAGGTGTTGGTTCTGAACTTGGGAAACATTCTGCTCAGCCATGAAACTTAATGAGTATGCTTAAAGTAGTCATGTTTACCCTTGTCCAAGTCACAGAGCTGTTTAAATATGATGAATTTTAACACATGAACTTTGAGGATATGTAATAAAATGCAACAAAAGTATTATTATTATTATTTTATTTCTATACTGCCTCACAGCTAAAACTCTCTGGGCAGTTTATCTGAAGAGCTACCTTTAATAAACAGTTCCTCAAACACAGCTTGAGGATTATTAGCTATTCAGTTTACCCAATTCTTATCAAAGCTGAGGGGAAAAAACTCTAAATGCTAGCCATGTTCATGTCCATTTTTCTTCCCAAACAGGAAATGACCAAAAAGTTCAGGAAATTTCTTATGCCACTACTGATAAAGCAACCTCCCCCGTGAAAAAGGATCAGATGGATGAAGTAAGAATACAAGTGACTTGAGGACAAAATGATTGTATGAGTGGATGTACAGATGATTGCAGCTAATCATTGGGGATTAGTCAATGTCTGTCCAAACAAAATCCAAGAAGATAATTCAGAGTGATAATGGAATAGGAAGTAAAATCTTGGGAGGCTGAAAGAAGCAATCTGGTGGTTGGAAATCTTGTAGAAAACTAGCTATACCTGCAGTATATGGAGCAGGACTGTGGCAGTAAGAGGTTGGAAGGACATGATTCAAGTGTAATAAAGAGGCAGATCTAGAGTTATAAGCATCTGGTGAACCTCATAAAACTGCTGTGAAGTTCAGAGATAGTCAGCCCAGGGCACATTCTGGAGCAACTGGGTCATACCTCTATACTATATATAGGCAATATATGAATAGTGTGAAAAGTGAAGGGATGGAGAACAGCCCAGTTAGTCTGTAAACGTATGCAGTCAGCCTGTACAGAATTGTTAGAAGATAAAGACTGTTATTCAATGGTGTCATTGCAGAATCTCAAATAACACAATTGGAGTGCCACCAGATCTTCCTTTTGTGCAACTGACTTGCATTATGCTTGTGCAACGGGTTATGTAAGAGTAATGTACAACCAGTTGCGCAAAAGATTCTGCAAGAATAATTACAACTGTTTGCTTGTGCAGATGTAACTGGAGTTGGATTTGCCTCTTGTGCACAGGTGCACTGCACCTAATTTCTGCTATCACAGTGGCATTTACACTAGAACAGTGACAGAGTTAGATACTGTCCATGGCTTATCAAGAAAATGCAGTCTTCAAAATAAAGGTATTGCATATCTGACAGCATCTTGAGAAACAAATATATTTTGCTTGCTGATAGGACAGCAAACAAGAATATACAGAAATAGTAACATTTGTGGTGCTTCAGATATATACAGCCCACGACCAGTACCTGTTTTCTTACTGCTTGATCATTTTTGGCAGGCACAGCCTAATTGTGAGTGTGTGTGTGCTTCCAAAGTTGCATGTTCACAAGAATAAGTTGCTAATATGATGGTCTTCTTCACTGTGGTATGTTTGCCATGTGCCACATTTTAGAGAGAGAAAATAGTTTTGTGAATGAGACCATAGAGTCCTGGAAGTGATCATCATAGGTAATGCAGTATTTAATTCCTCCAAACATTCAGCTGCTTTTGCTCAGAAAGTAACAGTTTCAGTTAATTGATCATTTCTTCTCCATCTTGTGTAGGATATTTCCAGATTTACTAATGAACACTCAGGTGTCAGCATCTCTCTTCAGAGAATTGCTGCAGTTCCAGATGTACCAACAGCAAGACACTCATGCCCATTGGTCAGTAAAGGACTGGTGCAAAATGTTGGCAACCTAGATGATTGCTGCTTAGGAATTCTTCAAAAAAAGCCACGATCACATACTACTTCTGATAATTGTTGGCCTTCCTCTGGGACTTGTAACTTTGAATTCAAAGATGCAAACAAGAGCCATCCTTGTAACCTTGTGTGTTCTCAGGTTACTACTCCTATTTTTGTAAGGTCAAAAACAGACTGCAGTAACATGGAATCAAATTATCAAAATGAGCCATCGATCCACATCACAGAAAGAGAACATTCCACAGATGAAGATTTGCATTCATCTTTAAAAGGGCAGTTCACCTCCACCTTTCAAACTCCACCTATTTTGCTCAAATCAAGGATGCTTACTGAGGTACCTGATTCAGGTAATCCTTTGCCTGTCTCAGTGCATGTGCAGGAGATGAGCAGCTCTCCTGATCACCACAGCTGCACAGACAAGAACCACCACTGTACAGAACGAGATAGTAGCCAAGAAAACATTTGCAAACCTGGCATTTCTACTTTTGAAAACCCTTCTGCTTTTCAGAGCCCTGGAACACTGTCAAAATCATACAAAAAACAAAGTTTGGACATGATGAACAAGCAAACCCATGTGGGATATGACGACACAAGCAGCAGCGATGATGAAGACAGGCTAGTCATAGAAATATAACAAAGTGTTGAGGATTTAACTTTATAATGGAAGGAAACAGCTCTAGGACCAGTCAATTACTGCTCAGTCTTTCTGTTGCACCATAAGAGTGCAAAAGCCATTCTTTCCTTCAGCAGACAGTATATTAATTTTTGCCAATGACATTTGCCTTCTTTATATGTGTTGATGCTTTCATGTGAAGCAAGAAAGGAGTTAGTCACATTTCAATGCCCACAGTAAACCTCTGGTACCTAAGTTTCTAGCTTAGTAACATCCTTCTGTAAGTTCAAACAAAAGTTTCAGTCTCCTATTCGTAAAACTAAAAATGTAGCCACCCCTGGCAACTGGTGGGACAACAGGAATCACTTTACTGCACTGAAAAGTTGGAAGTTGACAGATGCATCCAGCTGTGAACACACAGAATGCACCAACTGCAGAATTGTATTCAGCTGTTCTGTGTTTTGCACATTTTTTCTATCTGAAGTTTTGCATGAGGTCAGTGCCCTTAAGGCACATTATACAGCTTTTCCATATTGTACAAATATTCCCTGCTCCCTTGTGATGGACAACACAAGCATGCCCTGCTTTGTATTTTGTGCCTTTTCTGCTGAAAACTATTTGGGTATTTGTTACTTTCTAACTCTTCTGATAATATGGGTTAGCAATATCAGCATTTCAGAGGTATATGAAACAGTACTCTTTCTGATGCTGTTTTTCAGCTCAAGGAGGGAAAATGGGATTTTCTTTAACCTAAATGAAAATGTTTAGCTTGTCCTCCAAGACCTGAACATAGAGATAAAAGTACTTTCTTGGAATTGTCTCTCTTCCTATTTTGGTACAAGTCCAAATAGTGCACTGAGAATTTACTAACTTCTCTGTCTAGTTGATAGACTTACATTTCTCTAAGCACAACTCTGTTTTAACACTATTTGTAGGGATAGTGATTTTAGAGCATAATTGTACTGCTGTATTATTTTTAACTTTTTGCATTTTGAAATACTTCTAGAGTTGGTGTTACAGGCTAATGAAGAAATATTGTCATACCCATCATGGCCTTTTCCTTGATCAAAAGACAGGTTGCAAAGTGATAACTGGAAACCTGATCTGGTCAGGATGGTTGAGATAGGCAGGAAAATCACTGCTATATACTAGTGTGCTAAAGAGAAAAGTAACAACTTCTGAAGTACTGGAATTGATAAAATGTTCAGTCAGAAGTGAGTGCTTCCATATGCAACCTGCAGCAAGAAGCCATTTCTATCCATGGAACTCACATGCAGTTTAGAACACAAACTGCAACACAGAGTTGAGATTACTCCCAGTTTCTTCCCTCTCTTTTACTGTACCCTATTAAAGATTCCTTAGCAGGGCTTTTGTGTGTTTATCTACTCCCAACTTTCTAAGTGTGTTAGCAGGGAAGTCAAAAATTTACCATTTTCAACTTATCTCACAGAGAGTGTACAATCCAGATCATCGAATTGTACTTCTTAATTGAATGGACCCATTAAGGGGCTTTCCAATAGATATTCTTGGTAGAGTCTGCAAAAATCCTATGAATAAAACCTTTCATGAAATATTGTGTACTTATTAAGGGGACCAACCAGTGTTCATGAATGAAAGCAAGGCTTATATTTTTTGTGTGCTCATGGTGATATCCTTTCACAATGATAATAGAGCCAGGGTTAAATGTAACTCCTATGACTCTGAAATTAACTCTGTTTTTTCAGGTTATTGACAACTGTGTGGATAGAAAAAGCAGAAGTGGGCAGTTGCAAGAAGCTGGCAAAACCCTGGACTCCTGCTCATCCCCTCATCATCTGCTGTTCAGTTTCCACAGGCATAGCACATGTACTTGAAAATTAGTTGTCATTCTTTTAAAGAAGCAGGTGCATAACTTTCCATCCACATTTGGGGTTCAGCATTAGACTGGCTTCAAGCCAACTTGGTGAGTGGTTGTAATCAGGTTCTAGTCCACATGTGCTGATGAGGTGTCCTTTGTGGCTTGGCAGGAAGGGGGCTGGCAGAGTTAAGTGGAGGAGGGTGGGCTATGCATGGCTATGTTCAGTTGCCACAGGAGTGGAAATCAGCTCTGTGATGTGCATGCTTTAGGTGCATCAGTACAGGTGGTGGAAGGTAAGGAATCCTGCAGTACTTAATCCAAAGACCGTTTGAAGCCAAGAAGGCTCTTGCTCAGCTCTGACAGGATGCCCATAGGAAAAACAGAGAGTGCAGGAGTAAGGGTAGTTGAGTCTTCCTTCTAAGGTACAGGGCAAAACCAGTCCTGGGGACACCCACGAAGTAACCCCCAACACCACGGCATGATCCAACACCATTTCTGCACTAGTTTGCAACAGCCACAGTTATGCAAGAGTGCCCTAGTGATAATTACCTCTTGCTAGCAACAGTGGAGTTTTTGATCTTGCTTGCTAGTTTATTAAACAGACCGCATTTAATAAATCCGAGATGGTTTATTTAAAACCAGTACAAAGGCAAGTCCTTATGCTACTAGCACACAAGCTCCACCAACTTCTTTTATTTTCTCTTCTGCTTTTCTGCTGAAGAATTTTGCCTTCACAATTACAGGCTGTTTGGGCAGCTTCCCCTTGCCCAGGACTTTATAATAACCCTGAAACAATAGCAAGAATTCAACCCTGACTTGGATGCAAGCTCAAAGGTAATGTACATACACAGTGCAATTCAATGACCACTAGTAATTCAAATAAAATTTAGAGACAGTTCTTTACATAAACACTGTAAGTAATGGTTTATGCCATATGGGGAAATTCATTGGTTGAACTAGAGTAGCACTATTTGCCTTGACCATAAGCTCATACACTTAAAAAGGGAGGAAAAAACCTGGAAAAGAACTTGTGACATAGTATCAGGCGTAGTTGCCAACCTGTATACTATTTTGCAATTTCCACAAAGCACATAAGCAAACAGTCCAGTTGCCTTTAGCTTTGCATTCATCTGATAGACTATTTGAGGAATATGGGCCTAGTAGCTGGGGCTGATAAGGTAAAATTCAATGAATTAAACATCTGTTCCAAATGTGTCCATGAAATACTAACAAAATAGCTTGAATACATAGTCAAGATTGAGAAACGAAGAGCTTAGTATTCGTTCATACCGGGGGAGGGTGCATGCACACAAACAAACAATGCAGTCTCTGCAGGGATCTAATGAACGTGACTGCATTTTCATACTCGGCAACACCCAACATTTGAAACACGGGCACTGTTTGCATGGTATGTTGGGCTCAGTATGTAACCCACACTGAGTGGTGATGCATCCTGCATGCCATTTTGAATACAGAACTAATGAGATTCCAGCATGTTGTTTGAACCTGGCCTTCAGTGGTTATGCAAAAGCTAAACAGCCCTTGCAAGACACCAAAGGACTGGCTGTGCAAGATACTGCAAACTCACGAGGGGCTGCATATTCAAAATGGTGCCCAACATGCTCTGCAACTCACTGAGTTTAAAAAAAAAACAGCAGCAACCCATAGTGAGCCCAGGATGTCATGTTAGTTGGGTAACTTTGTCATTGCAGTTTCTCACTGAAGGAATTCCAATGTGTACTGAATATAAAATCTGTTAAAAATGCTACATACATTGATTTGAATGGGCCACTGATACCAGTCATTTCACATATCTTCAGTATTATCAAGCGCTCTCACAAATGTTCCAGAAGATGCCTGCAAGAGCTATGCCCTCAATGTCACCTATACCAGTGGGCTGTGGCACAAGACTAGAGATCACAGCCAATCATATCTGGAATTTCTCTCCGAGAAACACAGCATACCATAACAATCACACATGTTATGATACTGCGCTAGTCTCGTTTACAGAAACCATTCTCTCCCTCACCGCCCACTTAAAACTATAACTGGGTGGTTATGTAAGTTCCATTGCTATAAACTGTCATAACACGCAAACCATGAACTGGACTTAATCACAGTGTTTCTCTTGAGACTGAAACTTCCAGGCTCAAGTTTACAAATGAGCAGAAAAATCTCAAGACCAGCTTTGTACAGCTGGCTATCCAGCCCAAAGTTTTGCAGGCCCAGATACCACCACAGGAGCAGTACATGTGTGCACACCTGTGTGAACTAAAAGGTTTGGTCCAGGGCACAAAAACGTAATGATACTTACTGAGCGTACAACATCAATAACAGGTGCTAACCCAGAGGGATGTTTGGCATACTTGAGCCTTGTTTGCTCGCTAACAAGTGTCCAGAGCTTATCCAGATTCACTGTGGGGCAGAAATGCTGGTTTTTCTTCAGATGATAATGTCTCATACCGATCTTTCCAAAATAGCCAGGATGACTAGAAAGAAAGAAAACACAATGTGAAAAATCATGACATGATTCATTTTCAAACACAGGAGTACCATGACCTAGCTTTTCGGCAACCTTCAAGAGACCATGACTCATGATAGACTCCTGTTTCTGAGTATATAATAAAAAAGGCTGGCACAACACAGTGGTTAATATCATGAGCTACAAAGATATTCCTAATCCAAATATTATCTCAGCGGGGAGCTCACTGTGGACTGCAGCAAGCCAATATTTTTCAATACAGAGTAAGAACACTGTAAATATCAATGAAATAAATAGTAGATCAAAAGCTAGCAGAGGTTGTGTATAAAGCATACCATAGACCGGAACAAATGATTGCTGCTTTATATTTTCAGAGTATGTTTGAAAGAAAGGGTATGATGGATTTTGTCTAATGCAGTTCAGTCACTTTTTATGATAATCTAGTATACCTGAAGGCCCTAAAATTGGGGTGGAGACTGAAGTACTGCAAGTCCACCCACTATCAGCTTCAGACCCTAATTGACTTTTCTGGTAGGTGTATGGTTTTCCATAAGAATAGGGTTCTTCACAATGGCATAAGAGCAAACTGGGCTAACATAAAACAAATGCCCCTTTCAATGGTATTAAGACAGTGAGTCAGCTTTCCTAGAAAAGCCTACATCTTTTTTTTTTTTTTTTGGGGGGGGGGGGGGGGTTTCCCCAGTGCCTTAACTAATACTTAACCAATATTTAGTCAACAAAATAAAACCCTTATGAGATACATCATGTTGATGGTATGTACCATGTAAATATAAAAGCCTTTTCTAAAATTGTTTGAATAAAAGCATTTTTTGTTTAACATAACAGTTGAAACATAAAATGCTCTGAATATAACTTACATTTTATATTCAAACAAATGTAAAGCTTTACTTGGATGTGATTTTTGTAAGTGCCGTATTTTTCGCTCTATAAGACGTGCCTGACCATAAGACACACCTAGTTTTTAGAGGAGGAAAACAAGAAAAAAATATTCTGAACCAAATGGGCACATAATCACAGGCACATTCCCCATCACTGCCCCATGGGCTGCACATCTGACAGACTTACTGCACACACCTATTCGCTCTATAAGACGCACAGACATTTCCCCTTACTTTTGGGGGGGGGGGAGTGCGTCTTATAGAGCGAAAAATCCGGTATTTGTCAATATTGTAAAACAGGAAAACTCTAAAGTCTACATTTTTATCATGCTACATTTTAAGGAAAAAAACACACCATTCCTAGGAAAAGTGACCTGAAAATGGAATTAATTACAACTCTGAAACTACTGTATCCATTATTTACTTTTGTAAAACAATCCACTTTGAAACAGAACTTTTTCCCATCAGAGAAATAACAACAGTACATTTTTCCATTCTGGAAAAATTCTGCCCCACGTCTTTGCCATTGCATTCAACCATCGTTTATTCAAAATTATCATAAGAACACTAGAATTTTCTCAATTAGTAGGATAAATAGTTCCTCTCTTCAAATGAACTAAATACACTTGACTTGAAATTCCTACTGAAATAACTTCTACAGGACTTTGCAAAGGAAGGTATAGTCAATAACCTGAGCTGAGGCTGAAACCAGCTCTCAAGGAATGCAAGAATTCCTAATCTGACCCGGTCCAGTCTTCGTCAGTCAGTGCAGGCAAGACCATGTGGGCTAACTATGGAAGGTTAGGAGCCCAACCTCAGAGAAGGAGTAACTGGGGTGTTTTGGTGGGCAGAGAAGGAAGAGAAGGGAGAGGATAGGATACAAGCTATCTCCTGCTTCCTCCACCCCTTCTTTGAAAGCTTTTGCTAGACAGGCAAAAAAACAGGGTGGGAGGAAAGGGAAGGGAAAGCAGCTCCTCCTGCTCTGCATAAGATACTCCTAAGCTTCTGAGTCTGAGGGCTTACGGCAACTGCGGGCACAACCCACAGGACTGTGCTCTGAGTCATTTTTTGGTGGGAGGTAGTAAAGAAACAAAGGGTTGGGAGTACAGAAAATGAGGGCTAACTTACTATTTGTCAAAGTTAATTCTGTGATGGTGCATGCCACCAGCATTGCCACGTCCTCCAGGATGTTTTCTGTGTTTACCTGGGAGGAACACAGTATTATTACAAAAATCCTCTACATCTCAAAACAAGGATTGCTCAGAACTAACAGTGCAATCCAGATTGGGACAGGAGGAATAAAGCACTGAATCATCCATCACTTCCAGAGCCCTGCTGTCTTTCCTATCAGCCGGAGACCCCCGGCTCCGCTCTACCTGCTATTAACTACAAGGAAGGGGGAGATTAGTTCTGCCAGTTCCATACTGCCATTGAGAGGTGGTGATCCTGGACTCCCCAGGCATATGAAGAGGCTTTGGATTTATCGGATCCAAGGCTTCCTTCATCCTGCAGCGCTTCTAGGATAGATCACTCACCACTCAATCCCTTCTCCACTGGAGAAGGGGGACCACCAGCCCATTCTTATCCCTCCTGGATGGCTGGCTGAGTGAGATTTAGGACTGCTGTATAAGAAATTATGTATGCTACATAAATATGTAACAGTACCGATACATACAGACCTCAATCCAGTGTATTTAAGACTGCAATCTCATCTGTATTAATTTAGGAATGAAGCTAGAATTTACAGCACAGTCTTATACAAGCCTACTCAGATTAAGTGCTACTGCATTCAGTGGTGCTTCTTCCTCAGAAGAAAGACATCTGTACATCTTCTGTGATAAACTACACCCCCTACTAGGAATGACGGCTAACAATAGCATTCTGGCTTCCACTCCAACTCTTAAGTTAACAAAATGGTCACCACACAGCATCAAGTTTGGGTGTTTTGTCCAAATGGCATTTGGATAAAAGTTGAAAAAGTCTGAAATTTTTAAAATGTTTGAAAAGTTCGACTTCAGGCAAAGTTAAAGGCTGTTATTCATATTGCATCCTGTTCTTATCTGCCCCCAAAAGTATAAAGTATAATCTTGCTTCCAACACAGCACTTAGGAAGCTAGGGGGTTGGGGGAAGGGCGGCCATTTTTTTCTTCTTAGCCATTTTAGCTAAGCAGTAGAGCAAGACTCTTTGCTAGGCAATCCTGTACTTTGCAGCACTCATGATATTTACATTTGCTGCTTCTGTACAATAAGCAATAACAATTTTATGAGTCCTGTCTCAAAGAAAGCTACAAACTCTTCTTAAAACTGCACAGTTGTGTTTTTAACCCTGAAGGGTTTCCTGCACAGAAACTCTTAACAAAGGCAAAAGCTTAGAAGAGCACTTCCACTTGGCTGCATTTATTCTGGGCTCTTCAGGTTGGCCCTTTATATGCCTAGTAGTTACAGAAAGAGAGCTCTGGATAGCAGACTGAAAAGTATACAAAGCCTGTGCTGCATGTTTTAATTTTGTGCCACTACACAGAGGAATTTTAAAAGCAACCAAAAGGGTGGAAAAACAGAACCCTGGAAGCTCCAGGCACCATTTAGCAAGCATGGTATTCCTAGTGGCTTGTCACCTGAGAACCAAAACATACACTGCAAGACACCATAAAGCAGCAACAATCAGACAATGAATAATCCTATGAGCAGGCCACCCCCTATACTTACCAATGCGACCATGGCCGTGGCTGACATGCCCCCGCAGTTTCCTGGTCTTTCTTAGTCTTGAAGGCTTAAGAAGAAAAAAAGGAAGTATGTTATACACATACATAACCGTGTATGTCCCACATATACAATGCTTGGTGAATGTGGCTTAGGCACACCATGAGGCTTCAAAAGTAAACAAATGTTTTGAACACACAGTGGAGTCCCCTCACTTGTTGCTTAAGGACTAGAGGCACTGAACATGAAGCCTCAACATCTCCTTTTATGCACATATTAGCATTTCTTTCTTCGGTTTTTAGTCATTTCAAATTCAAACAGCTCTCTTGCATTACATTTGTATTCTACCTTGATATGATGCTAACTGCTTGCTGTCCATTTGATCCTTACAACAACCCTGTGAGGTATGTCAAGTTGAAAGTATGCCTGGGCCTAAGTAATCCTACAGATGTATAGGGATTTGAACCTAGGTCTTCCCAAGCTGACATTAATTAGCTGAAAGGATAAGGTACACTAAAACCTGTCATAATGTACATTTACTTTCCAGCACAAAAATCAAGCGAAACAGAAGAGACCCTCTTTGGATCAGGAGGATTGTTTCTGCAGAGAAACTTTACCGTTAAAGAGGCTCTGTTCAGTCATGAAGCTCTCTGGGTAACCTTCAGTTAGTTGGCCTTCGTTGTTGTTAGTCACGAAGTCGTGTCTGGCCCACCGTACCCCCATGGACAACATTCCTCCAGGACTTCCTGTCCTCCGCCATCCCCTGAAGTCCATTTAAGCTCACGCTGACTGCCCCAGTGATGCCATCCAGCCACCTCATCCTCTGCCGTCCCCTTCTCCTTTTGGCCTCAATCGTTCCCAGCATCAGGGTCTTCTCCAGAGAGTCCTTCCTTCTCATAGTTGGCCTTACTTTCAACCTAATATACCCCACATGTTTATTATGAGGATAAAATTAGGGTGGTAGGATGAAGAAGTAGAATATAAAATACATCTTAACTGAGTTGACATTGTGCCATTTCATACATATTTTAGGTGTACAATTAAGGTGTTTTAAAATGTTAGTGTGGCAAAAATCAAAATGTCTGGAAGATGTGCATTTACTTCCTGCGCCTTATTAACTGACCTGTGCGCAGGCAAACCTATCAGGGTGCTTCTGAGAACATGTGCAGCCTGGGAAATTGTGAACAGTCCTGCAATAGAACTTTTGAATTGCTGGGACTCAGAGGACATGGACTTTAGTCCCCTCAGCCATGGAGCAGACTGGGTGCCTTTGAGATAGTCACAGGCTCTAAGCCTAGCCTACCTCACAGGGTCGTTGTGGGGATAAAATTGAGAGCAGGAGGAAGAAAATGGTGTAAGCCACTTTGAATTCTTCGTAAGGAAAAAAAAAGGCAGGATATAAATCTAATAAACAAATATACACGGGCAGCATCACGAGTGACGTTGATGGCCTCCACTCCTGCGAATTCATCCAATCCCCTTCTGAAGACATTCAAGCAGGGGGCACGAAACCGCGTCCCCATACTGCCACGCCACTTTTGCCCCAGAACCCTCGGAGATGCCTCAGGATGCGCGGCAGTGACTGGCCCAGGGTCACCCGGGCAACTTCGCCCACGTCTCCCACACTCGGCGGGCAGCAACCGGGGCCCTCCAGACGTCGCGGCCTGCAACGGAATAGCTCCCCACGCTGCAAAAGGAAAACACTCCCTTCCACTCCGGACAGTGAAAGGAGGCTCCCCGCCCCTGAACGAGGAGCCGCCCAACTTCTCTTCCAACACCCCGCAGGCGACGTGGCCGTGAGGGCGCAGACGCGAACCGTCCCCGGTTGGAAACGGTGCTCTAGGCGCCCTCGAAAGACGCCCCCGCCCTCCCTTACCATCTTGCGGGCTTCTGCGAGACGGCGGTTCTCCACGCGCGGGATTTGAATCCCAGCAACGCTTCTCTCGCGACAGCTCGATTCCAAGCCCCGGCAGCTGCGACACACGCACGGGGGGCGGGGTCTTTGGCGCTCTCGCGATAAGGCGGCACGTTGTCACGTGGCCGCGCTAGGGGTAATCACATGACCCTGGTCACTTGGCCTTCCTCCGGAAGAGGAGGCTGGGCGGGTGATGGCAGCAGCTTGGAGTTCTCCGCTGCAGCCGTGGCCAGTTAGTGGCGCGGCGCGGGGCCCTCTGTGGACGCGGGTGGCCTTGTTCGCAGTGCTGCCCTCTCTCCGGTGAAAGCAGCGACGCGCACGCTGCGTTGCGACTTAGGGCATGCGCTGCACGCCTACTCCGGAGTAAGAATTGTTGTATTCCATGGGGCTTACTCCCAGGCACGTTTGCACAGAAATGCAGCCTGATAATACGGGCCTGTGCGTGATATTTCAAAAGCAAGACTCACGAGTTATCGGGGCTTACTCCCAGGAAAGTTTGCATAGGGTTGCAAACTAACGATGTAATGCTTCCCGGGGCTCCTCGGGAGTATGGCGTTTGAGTGCCACGGGGCTTAATGCCTATCAGTGTAATCCTGTGCATTTCTTTTTGTATGCCTGGGATCAGTGGGGCTTACTCCCAGGTAAGACTGGTAGAAAAGGGAGTCCGTGAGAAAGGCTGTGATGGTTATGTCAGGCTGAGCTCTTTTATAGTTGGAGGGCTTCTAACTACCAATCCGAAGGCATGCAGTGTTGGGAAAATTTGGGTTAATCCTGTCTGAAAAGCATTACTCCTGTGTGCCTTTGCATTGTGGGATCAAATCCTGTCTTCCTTCTCAAAACCAAGCTGTTACTGTTTAAAATGGCATTCCCCCGCTCCTTTCTCTCACCTTTAGCTGTAGGCTACAGTAGGCCATTTTAGCCCAAATATACATTGTAAATAGTCATTGTTGGAATTCAGTTTACAATAATCTTTTGATAGCCCAGAGGGCTTCATGTGCCTGATCATGCAGAATGTTTAGAGTCGAGATAAGGGCCTGAGCATCATGAATAGTTTCTAGTGGCTTGAATTTGCATGTAAGCAAACCTGGAGATGGGTTCAAGTTACTCAACTAAAGTGTCAATACTAATCTCATTGTTACAGTGTGATTGACTGACATTTCTTTATCTGTTCTGTATGTGATGACCTCAGAATCCTATTGTAATCTCTGCATTCTGTCATCAATTGCCCTGTACCTGTGTACCTATAAATGCCCTGTAATGGTATTGAAGCTTTGCAGCGAGTTCATCTCTGCTAGCACGGTAATGCATTATCGTGAGTCAACCGTGGGAACCTGGGATAGACAATAAAGACGCGGAGGTTCATAACGATTGATCTTTCCTACGACCCCGAGTTTTATTTCCTCTTCTCAAATTGAGATTCCAGGATTCTGACAGCAGCTATTTTGTCTTGCCTTCCTTAGCAGATCTGGGTCGTTCTGGAGGAGGCTTTTGTTATGCAACCAACCCGCCTCATTCATGGAATTTTCTGAGGCATTCAGACTTCCTCCTTTTGTAACTTTCCTTTCTTACATAAAATGTGTTAAGGGTGAAGGAATAGGGGCTCTCAGGCTTGGAACACTCTGTAATAAGAAAACAGCACAGAAGTGGTATGAAAAAACATAACCAGGCGGGTTCCAAATGAAAGGCAACAACTTCTGGATCTCCATTAAATTGCTGTGAATGATGCAGGCACTTTGCACAATAAATCTGTTCTGGAAGCTTCCTTCATTTCTGTTTTTAGATGGCAAAAGAGCATTATTATTCTAGCTATATTTTAATTTCTGATTCGTTCTCAAGTTTAAAAGATTGGTGGAAGTTTTAGCACTGCTTCCTTTTTGATGTTTTACTGCTACTGTTGTGGTGCTACTATGTATAGTTTTAATAGATACGTTTTTCAGGAGGGGACCAAATACATTTTTCATTTGGTAACAATGAAATCCTATGAATCTTTGGGCAGAAAAAAGTCTCGGCAGGTCCCAGCATACTCGAAACAGCTCAACCAGCTCTTCAGTACAAGTTTTTAAGCTAAAATATTATACAACAGAATTTCTCCTGCCTGCACTGTTTCAAAGTGCAATGAAAATGTCTTGGGTGTCAAAATAACTATGCAACATCTTCGCTTGGGTGGGGTGCCATTTGCTACTTAGTTTCAGGCAGCAAAATATTAAGCCTAATGTACCTTTTTAAAAAGGTATGCCATGTTTAATATTAATTGTTTAAATTTAATTTAAAATAACTTTCTGGGAATGATAGATATCTGAATCACAGTGATTTCAAAGCGGGAATGTACAGATTCATGCCTGTTAGCAAATAGTTTACACAGTTAGAATGATGGCAGGAAGTGGTCCACAAGCTACATAAAGGCTAACCTAATTTGAAATGAAACCCAACCCACTTCTTCCTTTAATCCAGTCCTGCTATTGGGTAGAGTGAGGTGATTGCTCCAAGCAACAAAGTTCCACTGCTCTGAAAGAGCAGCAGATCCTTAGGGTACAATTCTATGCAAGTTTGGACAAAAGAAAGGCCTACGGATTCCAGCACACCTCAGAAAGGTATGTTGGGTGTTGTAGGTCTGTCTGCTGTCTAAACTTGAATAGTATTGCTGTTTCTTTATTTTATTTTATTTTATTTTACAGCAAAGGAATGAGAGAGGAGCTTGTGGGGTGTCCTGCCTCAAGTGCAGAAAGAACCTTTTCAGCATCCTCTATTCATTGTGTGTGGGGGAGGGATTTTCTGCTTTGATCTTGGAAGTTTTTGCAAGTTAGGGATGTGAAGAACTGGAGTGGGGGAAAGCCCCCAGAAAAAACGGACACTCTCCCCCCCCAGCTCTTCTGTTTTTGCTGGAAAAAATGGAAATTGGGGCCATTTTAGATCATAAGCTATTTGGGAGTAAATATGAGTTCTAAAAACGTATTATAGGAGCATGTTTATAGGTATGCTAGAGATATAAAATTTCTGGAAATAATGCAGAATATAGGGAAAACGTTTTCTTCTCTCTGTAAGCATAATTATTTCTTTTTTTCCTTATTAAAATTATTGATCTAATGTTCCTTTTACTGGTAGACATTTAGGGATACTCCAAATCTTGCTTGGTTTTCCAATATGTGAGTAGAGTCTCCATATAATATAGAAGAAAATGCATTCTTGACAATTTTAGTTTTTGTTCTGCAGAGCCCTTTGTTTCTGGGCTTGTTCTAGTTAAATGCTGTAACCATCAGTGAATGCTGCTTTAATCTAAAACCCACATGTGGGCCAAGAAACAGACAGACAAAAAACCTCACACATTGTAGGCTGTCCTGCTACACATGCAGTGGAACAACTTGAAGGGTATTTTGGTTAATGGGCAGGATAGAAATCTAATAAATATTTCACATAGGTTTCTTTTTAAAATTAGTGTTGAAGCTTGAGTTTATAGAACTCATGTCCACAGGTTTTCCTAAAGTTTGCAATTTAACATACCCAGGAATGCTGCCTCAGTTATAAAACCTTTCCCCTACTGCCACTAGAATAATTTTTTCCCCTAAAAGAAATTCAGTACTCTAATGCCTGTGGCATGGGATTGACATTATCGCCAGGGATAATCTTGAAAAAAAAAAAAAGGACAGAAATCAAGATGTTCGATACTGGACTTGAGTTACAAAAATGAATGAAATTTCACTTCTCAAATAATAAGTTGACCTTGCTGAAGGCTGTTAGATTAAACATCATTGCTTACAATTCCTACATTGAGCCTTTCCAAACTAAGGAGAACCTTCACTGCTTTTTTTCAGATTAGACTTCCTTAAACTGCACCTCATAAACTGAAACAAAATTAAGAAGTTCCCCAAACTTTCTTGCAAACAGGAACAGATGGAGTAGACTAATCTTCCACTACCTCCAGTTCTTCCTGTTCCTTCATTTTTCTCTTGGCTGCTTAGACTACTTGCTGATGTTCCCTCTGGTCAGCCATGAAGTAGGGACCTAAAATATGTTATATATTCTGGTTTGCTCCTAAAATTAAGATGTTGGGGATATTAAGGTTTAAAGTAGGTTTATTTTAAGGTTTATTCAGACAATCGCAAATGTGTTAAAGGGTTTAAAGTTTTAAAATAGAATTTCAGGCGCAGAGAAAGTTACATAGAATATTGGCTGAGGTTTCTAAAGCAGGCTCCCTCCTCCTGCTGCCCAGTATTCCTAAGTGTTGGCCATGCTGCCTGAGGCTGATGGGAGAGGAAGTACAGAATATCTAGAGGGCCCTAGATTGGGAAAGGTTGTCCTACAGCACCAAAGTACTTCAATTCTATAACAATACTAATCTCCTTTCTTTAAACATTGTTTATTTTCGCTCAAATCTCAATTTTCTCCTGGGGAAAAATTCTCCTTGCCCCTATGGCTTCAAAATGTCCAGAAATTTTATATCTGTCTCCATGCTATGTTATTTATCTGCTAAGAAGTATGCACATTATCCTAAAAGAGCAATTTGTAGAGTCCATGTGGGCAACCCAGGCTTGTTGTTCTGCTTGCTGGCACTTTCAGGCTTATGAAAGAGTTTGCATAAGTGTGTTGACTGGGAGTTGTGTAAACTCCTTGGCTCGGAGACTGAGAGCAGGATTCAGCCTGGAAGTATCAGTCAAAATAAACACAGTTAACAAGGAAAACATCATAAGGAAAAAGATGATTGAAGCTTAAGGGATTTGAACAACCTAGTTCGCCAGATTCAGCCCACTTGAATAAACCTGGGCCAAAGGGAAAGAATGCCTTTGCCTGTCTGTCATGAAGCGTATACACAGATATGGGAGCACTTATTTTATGCGGACCAGATGTGAACTGTGGAGCCATAGTCAGAAAAAGTGAAATTGCAGGAAATTCTCCCCAGTTAGCACCATTCCTGAGGGAACTTGTCCTATTGCTTCAAAAAGAGTCCTGCTGCTGTTGGAACGTGGGATACTGCATTGATCCCATGAAGCTGAGAGATGAGAAGAAAAACAAAGGAGGGAAGCCAATAAACGATGGAGAAAGCAGCTTTTCTAAGTACAGGTGTGTAGAACCCACATTCTTCACTCAGT